TATAACCATTAATTTTGGGTAAGTTGTCCTTATTAAGCAACCAGCATTCACTTAGTACAATGACATCGAAATCTATTTTTAATCTAGTCAGTAATACTTCAAAATCTGTAATATTGCAGTTAATATTTCGTATATTCTGCTTAATAATTGTGAAGTTGGATTCACTAGGTGACAAATACTTATAACAATCTTCAACGTCACAGGCTATCGATCTTGATACCGTAACTTTATCTAAGTTAATAGTGAAGCTTAGAGTGTTATTTATTACTTTAAATTTCTCTAACAAAATCTCGTTATTAACCAAATAATATCTTTTATTGGATAAATTGATTGAAAAATGTAACTGTAAATTGTATATATGAAATGAGTGAATATGATTTGTTATAAAATGTAAGTGTAATATAAAAGATGTAATTAAGGTGTGTGTACATAATGTTTGATTTTTGTTTATGTATTGTGTGTAAATTGTGACTATGTGTATTATAAGGTATAGTGTTAGAATATACTTTGTTCTTATTATGCTAGTTAAAAAGAAAAGAAAGGATGCGAAAATATCTAATCTAAAGCTTAAAACTAGTCATTCGGTCTTTCGTAGATTTTCTAGATCTGTTTCATTATTTATTCTAATTTGAGTAGAATTTTCATTCTTGCGTAAGTATACAATGCCTCTAGATGTCCAGCAGAATAAATATTTATGACTTTTTTGGAAAATTCTGGCCTGATAGAAAAGTTTTTGAGTGTGACTCTCCGAAATATATAGGGATGTTTTTTGTGAGTAATTTAGATGCGAAATATTTAATTTCTCATTTTTTGGTTTTGTTTTATTAATTTTTTTTTACTTCATGTAAAATCTTTTCTTTAATAATGACTGAATTAAATTCCACTAATATCGGTCTAGTCCCCGTCTTAGAATTGGTTCTATACACATCTTTTATGTCCGAATCCCGTAAATTTACATTCAAACACTCCCCTAATTTTTAACAGTGCTACATAGATTTTCCTTTGATTCTTCATTGTTTTCAGGTATGTTTCTTATTTCTATTCCTGAAAATCTAGACTTTCTTTCCATATTTTCTATTTTTTCCTGTAGTTGTTGTATAATATATCTATCCTGCTTTTTCCCAGCCTCCAGAACGGATATCCGTGATAGAAACTCATCATACTTGCTTGACATAGTATCGACGCTCTTTTTTAATTCATCGTTCTGTTCTTTTATACTAGAAACTATAGTTTGTAAATTTTTGAAAAGCTTTGCTTGTTCATTCGTATAAACTGAAAACATTTCACTCATGTAAGACATAATGTTAGGATTCACTCCGTCATGTTTCCTTTTTTTACGCTCAGTAACATTTAACATAAGCGATGGAATATCAGGCGCCGATTCACTGTGAAGTTTTGTCGTCCGTTCTATCGCGTCGATTGCGCGCGTCTGTGATGTCTGCGATTGTGATGTATCATCAGAGCTCATAGGCACGGGCGAAGCGGGCGGCGGTGTGCGGTTGATCGGCATTGTATAACCGGTTTTGAAATAAAAGACGCCTCAACGTTAAATTACCAGGACAATATGAGTTAGAAAGTGTGATCGCAGTATATTTGAGAACTCGTACCCCTAATGCAACCGAACGAGTAAAATATAACCGTCTCCCTTCTTACCGTTTTACTAAAGTGTGGTGTCTTATGCTGTGTCCTATTTATTTGTTCATTGTGAATGTGATGGTTTTACTCACACATATAATTTAGTTTGTTGAATATTAATCACTGCCGCAGATGTCACTTGTACTTCGTAAACTGCCTCGGGCTTTATGCGCTCCTAATATATAATTTATTAATACAAGTAATAAAATAAACTATAAACACGTCTTAACTCTTTGGAAGTCCGGATGCGAATGCAAAGACCACTATTGAATATAGGCCGACCCCAAGGAATGCCACGATTAGAGCTTAAGAATGTATAAAGAAAATATAAATAGACATTTATTTATATTGTACAGAATATTACAACTCATGCCTAGTAGAAACCGTAGCTCTTTTTTTCGAGCATTTTCTAAATAAAAAAATGATACACTCTCGATTTTAGATCTTATGCTAAGAAATCAAGGAATTAAATTAGAATGTATGAAACATTATCCTTGAAATGTAGAATTTTTCACACATTTTAACCGTTTTTTATACATTTTCTGCTTTTGATATAAACTTGTTTTATGGTTCTTTGTGCGAAAGTATATGAATGTGGAAAAGGCGAGAGAGGTGTGTCAGGATCGAGCCAAATGGAAGGCTGTAGTCTCTGCCTACCCCTCTGGGTGACAGGCGTGAGTACTTATGTTATGTTGTTTTATGGTTCTTTGTGCTCCTGTGCAGGAGTGACCAAGTAGTACCTTGTAATTGGCTTCTTTCAATTGAGATCATAAAACTTTTAAAAGAATCTTCTTCGAATTTTACAGTTAAAATGTTACATTGTATTATTTTAAATTCATTTCATTAAAAATATGTACAGAAAACTATATAAAGCGAATATGATGCTCCTTTTGTTTTTTTATTTATTTTCATACAACCTCTTCCTAGTGTACGCAATATGATGACCCATATGTGAGAACAAAGTATCAGCTTTAAATATACCATACCTAAGCATTTAAACAAAACATTTATATTATAAATAAAAGGAGTCTAATTGCGTCCCGAAAGGTCTACACAACCTCCCAAAGAATAAAAAAATATCATATTTTACTATTTTATACAATTTTTCATTCGGGACAAAAATGACTAGACCGACTTTGCTCAAAATTTTAATGAGGTCTAAAGCTACATAATTATGCGTTAAATGAAACAGGTCCCATGTCAATATCACTCTTTGTTCTCGAGATACACGAGGCGAAAATTGAATCCGAACATACGTACATACATACATACATATATGTGCACACACAGATACCCTCTTCAAAATAAATATATATTATTATTATATACTTAATAGTATATTCGACTCTAAAGACCTTGAATCGTGGAGATAAGTTAAAATTTCCAATTTTCAAAATCGGACCCATTAGAATAACTTCCCACTGGGAAGTTAATAAAATTGAATCCGAACATACGTACATACATACATACATATATGTGCACACACAGATACCCTCTTCAAAATAAATATATATTATTATTATATACTTAATAGTATATTCGACTCTAAAGACCTTGAATCGTGGAGATAAGTTAAAATTTCCAATTTTCAAAATCGGACCCATTAGAATAACTTCCCACTGGGAAGTTAATAAAATTTTAATCAAGGATCTTAACATTATTGTTAATAACTAATTTTTTGACATTTTACTAAAAAATATGGTTACAATTTGATTTTGCCTACTAAAAAATATAACTCGGTTATAATCTAAATAAGATAACTTTTTATAGAAGAGGGGGCAAACGAGCATGCGGCTCACCTGATGTTAAGTGACTACCGCCGCCCATGATCAACCGCAACACCAGGGGAATTGCAGGTACCTTGCCGGCCCTTTAGAAACGAGTAAGCTCTTTTTTTGAAGGTCCCCAAGTCGTTGTACGCGGAAGAAAACTCCTTTTGAAACGTACAGTGGTGGACCGCCAACCATCCAGATAGTGTGGATGGTTTCGGGACGTTTGCCGCGTAGTGCGTTCACGAAATTTGGCGGCTCAGATTAATCCGAACAATTCCTCAGAGCACTCTCCATGGTATATGAGAAAGAAAATAAAAAGAGATGTAACATCTCTTCGCAGTTCCAGTGAATCTAGCTGATCGGAAAGCACTCGGTCGTCGACGATTCGAGCCGCTCTGCGCTGGATGCGGTCAAGTGGAAGGAGCTGGTACTGAGGAGCCCCAGCCCAGAGATGGGAACAGTATTCAATGTGCGGCCGAAGCTGCGCCTTGTAAAGTTGCAGGCGGTGTGCCGGCATGAAATACTGTCCCACTCTACTGAGCACGCCAAGATTTTTAGAGGCCAGTTTGGCCTTCTCTTCCAAGTGACCACGACACTGCACGCCACTGCACATGTCGACGCCAAGGATTCCGATACTGGCTGAGGCTACAAGGGGAGTGCCTTGAAACTGAGGAGATACGACAAAGGGGTTCTTTTTAGCGGTTCACTCGCAAAGTTGTGACTTCTGGGGGTTAAACTGGGCTAGATTTAGTCGCCCCCAATCCGAGAGTCTGTTCAGCAAAGACTCGATTTCAGACACAAGTTTGTCCCGGCATTCGAAGACGTTTTCCCGAGAAATATTGGCTCGGCCGTTGTAAAGAGCATCACCAGTGCTGTCATCTGCATAGCAATGAATGTTACGGGTTTGCAACATATCATTGATATGCAGAAGAAACAGCGTTGGCGATAGCACGCAGCCTTGTGGAACACCAGCATTAATAGGCTTGCAATCGGAGCTTGGACCGTTTACAACGATCTTGATGCTCCGATCTGCAAGAAAGCTGGTGATCCAATCGCAAGAGCTCAAATCGCTCAAAAGAACTGCGAACAACAGCATCTTAAAATGTCTTTTGACACACATTAGTGCTCAAGAATATTTGCTAGCAAGTTATCGGTCGGCTTTGACCGCAGGAAACCTAACTATAATAATAATAATAATAATTTTTATTTTATTGATTTTTTTATTTTATTTTTTTTATTTTTTTGATTTTTTTATTTTATTGATATTTATGTATATTTATCTTTTCATTTTAATTTATAATTATATATTTATAGAAACCAACCAGATGAGAAAACTATACAGATACCCCTATAATAATAATAATAATAATAATAATAAGGCGTAGGGAAGTGACGACCCCATCGCCCGCTGATATAACGGTTACGTGACAAAACCGCTACGTCGGCGCAGTCAGTCAGCACCTTGCCAAGAGGTGTTAGTGCCGTGCCTCGGCAAAAATTGAAGGTGCCAAGGCCCGCTTGTGCACATGGCCTAACCATGAAACGGCGCCGGGTCTGGGCGTCTCCCGCCTAAATGACGCCCTAAAATGGATGATGGAATCAAATGGAACGCGCAAAGGGCCGCTGCCTGGAGGTCGCCAGGGCGCGTCTGGAGCTGGCGCTGGACGCGACAGCATGCGAACCGCCAGCCGAGCGCGAGGTGCTGCACGACCACCCAGCAGCTCCTCGCATCCATCATCCCCACCAGCTGGCTTGGTGTCGGCAGGGTCTTCGCGGGCTCAGCAATCGGCACCCGCCACTGGTGGAGTACGCCGCATGCGTTGGACAACCCAGATGAACAGCAACGCATTGCGGGCGTATTTTAGGGCGAAAGGGGGAGAAACTGGAGGTTTTGCGTATCGGGCAAGGATGCATCGACTTTTTGCTGAGCTGGAGCCATCTGTAACCGTCACCGAGCAAAGCCTGGCAGACCGAGTTCGGTATATCTTGCGCTCAAATACAATTGATGTCTCCGAACTCGAACGGCTACGACGACGTGAGGCTGTTCCTTCATCGGGTGAAAATGCTGCGGCTGAGGATGCGGCGCCACAACTTGCTGAGCAAACGGCAAATGTGGATGCCGCCGTGAATACGCCAGTTGTTGTTGACTCAAACGATGATGGAATAGTCGCCCAGGAACTGGAACTAGAGCAAATGAGGAGTACATTGGAAGAGGCGATTGTGGAAACGCGCAGTACGACTCTCGAAAATCGACCGTGACTTCCCCGCTTAGCCCTAAGCAAGCGGAATCGGGCTGTCGTGAGGGCTCTTAACCCAATGCTGGTTACCTATTTGGAAGCCAGCCGGGACCTTTGCGATACGGACTCAATTCTTTTTGGCGCCGCACTGGCAGTCTGCCGTATTATAGGTGCCAAACTTTCCACGGCTGGACGCGCTACTGGACAAAGTAGTGCTATCCCAGCCTGGAGAATAAGAATTGAAGAACGTATCGCAAAGGCTAGGGCCCTCATCGGCAGACTGATATGCTTCAGGTCAGGCAATACCAGGCCAAGGATTGTGCGCACCGTCAGGATGGCGTTTGCTGGGACAAATGTTAGTTTGTCCCAGCCGGATATAATGCAAAAACTGACGGAGCGCATAGACGACCTGAAGCTAAGAATAGCTGCTTGGGGAAAGCGGATTCGGCGATATACCGAGAGGTCGACACGGTTCAACCAGAATCGTCTCTTCCAGAGTGATCAGAAGAGGCTCTATAAATCATTGGAGCGATCAATAGTAAGTGGAACGGGCCCTGCACCAAATCAGGCTGACATGGTCGCATTCTGGCGCAGCCTGTGGTCAGAGCCCGTAAACCACAACGAGGGTCCTTGGACGGAAGTTGTGGCGAGTCAGTGTGCGTAGTACGCCCATGGACCCCGTCATCATAACGCCGGATGACGTAGCTGAGGCGGTCCGTAGGGCCCCGAACTGGAAAAGTCCGGGGCTTGACGGGCTGCATCACTACTGGCTGAAGGGGTTCATGGTGTGTCACTCTGTGCTCGCCCGACAGTTTCAAGAGGCTCTCAACCAGAAGTCGCTCCCAAGCCTCTTCACTACTGGGATCACTCATTTGGTTCCTAAAGATCAGGGTGCCACAGACCCGAGCAAATACCGCCCCATCACGTGTCTACCGACCATATACAAGACACTAACATCCATTTTGAGCGCAAGAATCGCTCGTCACCTGGACTTAAATCAGGTGATGTCGCGCGCTCAAAATGGATGTCGGGGCGGCGGTCGTGGAACCAAGGAACCACTCCTCATTGACGCGGTCATTGGCAAAGTGGTGAAACGCAACCGTCGGAACTTCTCCGCCGCCTGGATAGATTACAGAAAGGCATTTGACTCGGTGCCCCATACATGGCTAAAGAGGGTCCTCGAGCTGTACAAGATTGACTGTACAGTTCGAGACTTCCTCGAGCAGTGTATGGGGCAGTGGAGTACGATCCTCTGTCATCTAGGCAAAGCGGATGACGGCTGCGGAAAGCCGCATAAGGATAAGAAGGGGTATATTCCAGGGCGACTGTCTGAGTCCAATCTGGTTCTGCCTCTCTTTGAACCCTCTCAGTACTTTACTGGTGGGCTCCGGGAGGGGATTTCAGCTTCGGAAAGGAGGGACAAAAGTGACCCACCTTTTCTATATGGATGACCTCAAATTATTCGCCTCCAGTCGCTCCCATCTTATGGAATTGCTAAACATCACTTGTGAATTTAGCAATTCTATTAGAATGGAGCTGGGGACGGATAAGTGTGCGGTCCTCCATGTTGAAAGGGGAAGGGTTGCTAACTCTGAGGGTATAGACTTATCTATGCCCGTCAACTTAAGAACCCTTTCCGAGGCTGAAACATACCGATACCTGGGTATGTCACAGAACATCGGTATCGATGAGGCTGGTATGAAACAGTCAGTTTGCGACGTGTTTTATGCACGCTTGACCAAAGTGCTTAACAGCCTTTTTGTCCGGTGTGAATAAGGCACACGCATATAACGGTTGTGTCATGCCTGTCCTCATGTATACCTTTAGCATACTCAGGTGGACTCAGACTGAACTTAACGCCCTGGATAGAAAACTCCGCACTACCATGACGTCCCATAGGATGCATCATCCGAAATCGTCGGTAATGAGGCTGTACTTGCCGCGGAAGCATGGTGGTCGTGGCTTCTTGAGCGCGCTCACCATGCATAATCGCGAAGTGTGCAGCCTCCGTGATTACTTCCTTGCGAGATCGGATGATCCATTCTATAAGGACGTCATTTCTTGTGATAAAGGACTTACCCCTCTATCCTTAGCCAACGAGCAATGGCAAGACCCGGCAGTGCAGAGCATTTCCGACCGGGAGACCGTATGGAAGGAGAAGGAGCTCCACGGGAGGTTCTACAAGGCTCTACATGAGCCTTTCGTAGACACAGTAGCCTCCCTCCACTGGCTACGCTTTGGTGATCTCTTCGGGGGAAACCGAGGGTTTTGTCTGTGCAATACAGGATCAGATTATTAAGACCAACAACTATCGGAGATACATCCTAAAGGATGGCACCGTCGAACATCTGTCGAGCTTGTCGCCATCCCGGTGAGTCACTTAGGCATGTTATCTCCGGTTGTTCGGCGCTTTCTAACTCTGAGTACTTGCACAGGCACAACCTAGTAGCCAGAATTCTACACCAGGAGCTCGCTCTGAAATACGGTCTCGTGGATCGGAAATTGCCGTATTACAAGTACTTGCCGGAAGCCGTGCTCGAAAATGATCGCGCCAGGCTCTATTGGGACCGGGCCATCATCACAGACAGGACTATTCTTGCGAATAAGCCTGATATTGTGCTGATGGACCGGGCACAGTCAAGGATATTTTTGGTCGACATTACCATTCCGTATGACGAGAACCTCGTGAAAGCCGAAACAGACAAGCAAACAAAATATCTGGACCTGGCTCACGAGGTGACCGACATGTGGGGTGGTCTGCCGACCGAAATTATTCCTGTAGTCGTCCTTGCAAACGGGCTAATCCCAGTCAGCCTCTCGGGTCATCTGAGGCGGCTGGGACTACGTGGCGGACCGCTCCAGGTTCAAATGCAGAAGGCGGTGCTCCTCGATACCGCCCGCATCGTCCGCCGGTTTCTTTCCCTTTCCCCCTAACCCTCGGCCGTTTGGTCTCCCCTGCCGAGGGCCTCCATCTGGTTGGGCTTTTACTTATTTATGTACTTTTATATTTATTTTATGTTATTGATATTTATGTATATTTATCTTTTCATTTTCATTTATAATTATATATTTATAGAACCCAACCAGATGAGAAAACTATATAGATACCCCACATAATAATAATAATAATAATTTATTTTATTTTGATAAAATGTACAAATTATTCCAATAAGTCTTAACTTAAAAATAGTCTACAATAACAGGCACCTGAACTAGGATAAACCTGTATCTCAGGTGTATGTGCTAAAAGATACATTAACAAATATTTTCTGTTTCTTATATAAAATGAATAACGTACTAACTAATAAGGGTTATTTGGGTAAAATACATTATCATTAATGTACTTATGATATTAATTAACTTAAAACAATCAACAACTTCTCCGTATCATCGTATGACAAATTTTGTAACCATGTTCGAATTACCTTTTTTACAGTCTGCCATTTTTAATGGATATATATACAAAATTGCATTGACTTGATTATACAAAAAAAGGGCCGAGAAATGTAAAAAATCTATGCATGAAATAATGCCTTATTCTAATGTTAGTTTCAATTACTTTATCTTTGCGCCTTTTATCAGTGACCTCTCTTCTAATAAGGCAATCTTAAGTGCTGTTTTAGTAACATGCTCATAACAAATAACTGGCGCACTGAGAGGACATTATAGGATTTGTATAAGAGATGGGATGGAAATAGAATAGGGCGGTGTTGCAACTTTTAATACAGCTCTTTGAGCGCGTTCCAGTGGTAGTAGTGTAGTTTTAGCTGCTCCACCCCAAGAGGTTATACAATAGGTGAGTATTGACTGACATAATGCGTAACATACTTGTTTTACTACCTTATTATCAGCAAAAGAACGAATTTTTTTTAAAAACAAACATTAGTTTACGAACTCTATTGCATAGGTGGTTTATGTGGTTTTTAAATGTAAACGTAGAATCTATAATTATTCCAAGGTACTTAACAGTTTTTGTATTAGAAATAACTGGGCAGTAACATTTAGACTCTGTGACTGAGTAACATTGATGTGCATAAAGTTCTGGAATGGTTATATGCTGGGTTGAGCTGCGCATAGAAAAATGAATATATTTGGTTTTGTCCGTATTCAGTGTTAATATGTTTTGTTGGAGCCATTTATTAACTCTATCAAAACCTTGCTGAGCATATGAATAAACCTTGTCAACTGTATTTGCGGAGAAAAAGTAGCACGGTATCATCTGCGTAAGATATTATTTTACCTGAGTTAAGTTCAAGATTGCAAAGGTCATTTATATAAATCAAAAATAGGGTTGACCCTAATACACTTCCTTGAGGCACGCCAAAATGAGTACTTTTTTGTTCAGAGCTAACAACCTTATCGATTTTTATGCATTGATATCGATTTTCTAAATAATTCTTAAAAAGTTGAAGCTGCTTACCTCGAACACCTATGCTCTCTAACTTATTTAATAGGATAGGAATAGAAACCGTATCAAATGCTTTTGCAAGGTCAAGGAAAATGCCAATTGATTGGTTGCCTTTATCTAATTCTTGAGAGACGTAATCGGTCATTTCCTGCACAGCATCAGCAGTGGACATTTTAGGCCTGAAACCATATTGCATATTCGATAATATGGATTTACTTTGTAAATAATTCATTAATCTGTTGTTAATTAATTTTTCTAATAGTTTAGACGTGGATGAGAGTATTGAGATAGGCCGATAATTGGAAACGTTTTTTTTGTCCCCCGATTTGAATACTGGAACTACAATTGCTTTTTTTAAACAATCTGGGAAAATTCCTTCAGAGAGACAAATTCTGAAAATATGGGTTAATGGTGGTACTAGAATTTGTCTATATTTTTTTTATATACTAGTGGGTAATCCGTCCCATCCAACCGCGCTTGTTTCTTTCAGTCCCATTATAATCCTTTCCACCTCACTAGGGTCCGTATCTAATAATGTGAACGAGCTTAATTGGCAGGTTTTTTGAGTTAATAAAGTGGCCCTGTATTCACAATTATTGTTAGAGTTGTTTGTTATCTGCTCAGCCAGATTTTTACCAACGTTCACAAAGTAATTATTTACTGTATTTGCTGATATAAGCGGCGAGGCATTATTTTGTAATAATTCTGACGAAGATTCATGCTGTTTGGAAATAAATGCAATATCTTTTACATGCCGCCAAATCTTTTTATTATCTCTACCAGACTCTTCTAGTAAGTTTGTAAGATAATTATACTTCAACTTTTTTAATAAATTGTTACAAAAATTCCTATATCTTTTATATGAAATTTGTAAAATGGAATTATCTGAAGAGGTCTTTGCCATCAGGTGTAGTTTGTCCCTGTGTTTCATGCACCTAATCAGGCCAGGTGTAATCCAAGGCTTTAAGTTATTATTTTTTTTAGCTACTGTTCTATACGAAGTATTGCTAGCAATGGCATTTCGTATGTTATTTATTAAGTAAGGCAAAGAGATGTTTACGTCATCGGTTTTATAAACTGGGCTAAAGTCAATGTTTTGAATTGCTTGTTCAAGGTTTTTCGTATTAATTTTAGTAATAGAGTACTTACAATTAGTTTCGATATTTTAAGGCTTAAGTTAAGAATGACGGCGCTATGATAACTAAGAACTGATTCTGTATTTTGATCACAAATACTGTTTTAAAAAGGATAAGACA